CTTGCACTGTGCCCTGGGGTTCCAGCTCCTGATGAAGCTGCCAGCACCCACGGGGGGTCACCCTGGGGGAGAAGGTCACAGTGGGGTTTTGTTCCCACTCCTCGTTAAGCGGCGACAAATTTTAACGGTTGGACTTGATGATCTTCGAGCTCTTTCCCAACCAAGGTGCTCCTGCGGTGCCTGCCTGACCTGTAGTTTTGTTCCTCCTGTGCAGACCGATGTGGGAAGTGCCAGTTTGGGGCCATCTGTGAGGCAGAGACGGGGCGGTGCGTGTGCCCCACCGAGTGCGTCCCCTCCTCGCAGCCCGTCTGCGGCACCGACGGCAACACCTACGGCAGCGAGTGTGAGCTCCACGTCCGGGCCTGCACCCAGCAGACCAACATCTTGGTGGCTGCCCAAGGAGACTGCAGTGAGTCTGGCAAGGTCCCCTTCGTCCCTCCTCTCGCTCCTGCTGGTGGCATTTCGGCTGAGCTGCCTGGCCATGGCTGTCCCAGCTGTCACTTGTGGCTCTCCCGTGGGTTTGGCAGCCCTGGGAGGCACCAGTGAAACCCCAGGGTCATGATGTGTGGAGGGACTCACTAGGGTTCTTCCTTCTGCCTTTATTGGTTGTTTTTGGGACTTCCCAGGAGGATATCAGCTCCACAGGAACACCCAACAGCCTGGCCCTGGGGGGTCACTTGGAGAACCTGCCTGAGGCTTTTCCCTGTGGCTTTTCCCTTTTGGCTTCACAAGAATTGGGTATCTTTTGAGTTTCTCGAGCAGCTTCTCCTTTGTGGCCCCAGCTGTGCATCGTGGGTGGTGTCTGCCCTCTTTGTTACCTCTCTGAGGCAAGCACAGAAATTGGGCCAATGTCCATTGAGCCAAGCAAAGAAGCTGGGATAAGAACATGGTAACAGCTGCCCCCAGAGTGGGCACTGAGGGTCCGTCTGAGCACACAGTTCATCTCGGTTGCTTTCCCTCCCCTCCATCCCATGGGGTTAATTCCTCTTTGCTCATGTGTTTCCTCCCCACTCCCCAGCCCAGGGAACTGTGTCTGCTAATTTCTTAATGAATTAAAAGCCCTGCCTGGGTTCTTCATTAGGACAAATGCTACTCCAGTAAAAGCAGTGCTTTGAGCCTGATTAGATCTGTCCAGCTGGTGTTCCAAGGCTGGATGTGCATGGAGACCCTCTCTTTAAGTTTGGGAGAGAAGAGCAACCGAGTGTGACAGATGGCTTGATGCTCCATGGGTGCTGTGAGCAGGAGGAGGCCGAAGCCACCATGAGAATGAAGGGGATTTCTTACTTGGTGTGCTAGAAGCAGCTGTTGGAACACAGCACCCATGGGTGCAGGAGTGCTCGGCGCTGTCACTGCCCAGCGCAGCTCTTGGGAAGGGGTGCTCAGCTCCCTGCCTCCCTGCACGGCGCCGGGCGGCTCCCAGCTCTGTGCCTGTTGGCTGCAGGGGTCCCCAGGGGGTCTGACAGGAGCTCCCCCTCTGTGTCCCCCCAGAGTCCTGCGGCAGCA